TGTAGTATACCCCACTTAGAGTCTTAGGGGGGGGGGTAGATCTATCCCCCTAGTAGCAAACTATATCGAGTAGATATCTGTTAGATATCTATTTATCGATATATATATATATATATATATATATATATATATATCGATTAGATATCTATTTTGACGCAAACATAGATACCTATTAGATATCGATTAATCGAGATACTACGCTATCGGCGAAAAGCGAGGGTAATATGCTACGCGTGGAATCGTTTGCTTAACCCAATGCCCTTTTCAATCCCCCATCCATTCAAAAAGCTGTATGGGACGGCCGAAGCGACGGCTTCACTTCATGGAATGTTACGGCATGCGGTCTCTGTTCCAAGATCCAATGCTGTTGCCGTGTTAGATGTTGCGAAGGCCTTTGATTCCGTGAACCATGACACGCGCTTGCGAGCCGCCGCCGTACACGGAGCGCGACCTTTAAATCTTAATCCCCTTACTTTCTCCTACTCCAGAACTACTACCTATATACTTGACACTGAGGTCCGATGCCAACGCAGTGTCCGCCAAGGCAACCCTCTCTCCCCTCTCCTCTTCAACTGCGCTCTCTCTGAAGCCCTCTCCTACTCCGACCGGCAGTTAGGCTTTGATCTGGCTGGGGCGACGGTGGATTCGATTGCGTATGCAGACGACCTCGTCCTATTCGCTGAATCACCTCACCGTTTGCAGCAAAGACTGGATGGTCTGGCCAATGGCCTCTCCCTTGCTGGTATGGTCCTCAACTCGGCCAAGTGCGTGTCGTTCTACGTTCAAGGCCTTGGAAAGGAGAAGAGTGCATGCCTCTGCCCGTGCGAAGTATCAATCGGGTGGAGTGTCTTGCGCTCGTTAGGGCCAAGGGACACTTTCAAGTATTTTGGGGTGTCCTTTTCATACCGCGGGAAGGTGATGGTAGGTCATCGTTCGGTCCTGTCTGACATGCTGGATGAAATAACGAGAGCACCGCTGAAGCCGCAGCAGCGTATTGCACTTCTGAAGCGCCACTGCGTGCCAAAGCTCCTACACGAACTAGTTCTTGGGACGGCCCACCTGAACACCTTGAAGAGGCTCGATACCCAAGTAAGACAGAGCGTCCGCCGGTGGCTGAAGCTTCCTGCAGACACGCCGGTTTCCATCTTCCATGCGCCTGTCGCTGATGGGGGTCTTGGTGTTCCCTGCTTGACAGTTCTTGTCCCCTTCGCTAAACGCC